GGATTTGTCCGACAACGGACTGAGGCTGATCGAAACATGGTAGTATGCAGTACTAGGTTCAAGCATAAAAAGATCCATCAAGCTACGTGGCTGTCTCCGGATCGAAAAACGAGAAACCAAATCGATCATGTTGTGATAGACGGAAGGCACGCTTCCAGTGTTTTAGACGTACGCACACTCCGAGGCCCAAACATCGACTCGGACCACTATCTTGTTGCAGCCAAGATACGCACCCGCCTCTGTGCAGCAAAAAATGTGTGCCCAAATGTGCAAGGAAAGCTTAACGTCGAAAAGCTGCAATCACAACAGACAGCCAGCGCTTTCGCTACTCGACTCTCACACCTGCTCTCAGAGAGCACTCTTCAACAAACNTCGCCGAAGAAGTAGTTGGATCAAGTTGGTCAAGATCAAGATCAATATCAAGATCAAGATCAAGATCAAGATGAAGATAAGGATAAGTAGACTGTTATGATCGACTTATAATTCTCGCAGGAGATTTCAATGTCAACTTTTCGCTGGCCGAATCTGATGAACTGACGAAATTTTTCAAAGGCAAAATTTTATTGAAAATTGTTATTGGTAGAAATGATCCAACAAACCAAAGAAAGGAAATATTAACAATATTGAAATAAAACATTTAATATTATACTTTAGTTACCACAATCCACTAGTTAGTATTGTATATATGAATGTTTTATCAGTTCCTTCTTATATTTCTTCAAATTACTAACACCAATAGCTTTATTTAATTTTGGTACAAAACAAATAATGCTAACTTCCTTTTTCTTTTATGACTTAAAACTTTAGCGCACAGTTTTCTTTTCTGTGAGGTCAATAAATAGAGTATACAAAGGATAATAAAATGGTATTTTTAAATTTGTAAGATTCTGCGTAGTTATTACTTAATGATATTTTCTCGCTCTGCTGTAAAGGTTAGCAGCTTTTACTGCGGCGGCTACGATATATATTTTTCTGCATGCATTGTCTCACCCTAATCCATTAATGTATTTATATACATATATTTACATACATACCAGGGTTGTTTCGAATATTCGCATTCGCAATCGCAACCGCATTCGCAATAATCAATGCAGAGCTTTTGCGAATGCGAATGTTATGCAAGTGCACCGATAAAACGTATATCTGGCAAACAAAATGACAAATTGTAGCCAATATTTTTTGCCTGTGGTCGTTGGAGTATTTGTGTAACAAAACTGGTCAAATGTCATATTTATCAACTTTGATAAAAACTTATTATTTCTTAAGCTATATAATCGAGCAGTTACACAAGTTTCCACTTCTACTTGACCTTTGACGTACGTCAAACAGAACGTAGTCCTTTTAATAATATATATTTTTTGTATTATCTTCTTTAAATACCTGAATTTCTTTCTTTATTATGATTTTTTTGGACCAATCTTAAAAAAAATACTAGACCTAAAAGAAGAAAGTGTGCACTGTAATTTTAAACCAAATTGTCGTGATTTGCTATTGATGTTACATATCGTCACCTGAAATGCAGTTTTTGATTGATATGATGGATTTAATCGAATTTCAACTCCCACATCAGTTATGGTGTTCTTACGTCTTTTTGAATTTCAGGTGACGATATATTCGTTTCAATCATTTCAAATGTGGCTCTTAAGAGAATCGATGCTGAAATATTTAAAAAGCTTTACTTCCGACCTTTAATTAGGTAAGAATTACGTAACTATCTGAAACCCTCATCATTCGTGTTTCCAATAACTCAAATGATTATAAAAAACTGCGTGCTTTTCGGCGTGCAGCCAGGATCTTAAAAAACAGAATTTTGTTAAAAATTTTCATTCCTGGAAAATAATAATTTATTTTCCATATCCACCTATCTAGCTCACTATAAGCATAAATTCTTCAAACCAGTCGCAGCAGACCCATTAAAAAGGAATTAAAAAACTAAAATCGAAAAACGCTGATGACGTTACAAGTTCCCCAAATTCTGAAACTGCTAAAGGAATGAGAATGAAGAATTCTTTTAAAAAAGCTTCAGAAAAACCTGACACATCTGGTGTGGTTTGTAAGCGCTGTTTAAACAACGATCTCACCATTATGCTAGATTTTTCAAGTGGACATGAAAGTCAGGAGGATACATCCGACATTTGCAGCCCCGATGCAATTCTCATTACTTTTTATTAAATACAATTTTCAATTTTCAAGTACTAAGTAAAATAAATATTTTTAAAAATTACTAACTTTTAAATTTTTTATTTACCTAAATAACTTAGTTTACTTACCTGGTTATTTCTTAAAAATACTTAACATCCGCATTCGCATTCTCATCCGCGGATGTTAGCTGTTCGCATCCGCGGATGTCTAAAATTTCACATTCAAAACATCCCTAATACATACTTGCATAAAAAGTATTATAAGTATTTATCTTAACTCGTAACGAACTTCTATGTAGCTGTACCGTCAACATGGTTTGAGTATTGCTGTCAGA